AAAATCATGTTTGTTTTTTTTATTAATAAATTATTAATTATTGATTTATCTACTAAGTAATACATTACTAAATCAGTAAGAAATAAACTTGTAACAAATGATTATAATGGAAAATCTCTAAATATGTCCAACTCACTTTTAATCATCACTGCTGATCCATAGAATGTTATTTAAAGGTTCTGAAGGTTGAATTTAGTTCCAACATAGTCAGAGAAGATAACGTGTCATCCCTGGATCGTTTAATCAATTACTTTTTGTTTCATTAAACAAATTTTATTTTAGTCACATGTCATTTAATTAAAATGAAAAATATTATGTAACTGATTTCTATGGAATATTACGGAATTGAGCTAGGTATATATGTGAAGTTCATAACTTACACACACACACACACACGTACACGCACACGCACACGCACACGTTCAAGTTTCTCTCACTATGAGTTTAAATCGCCTCCTTGAGAAGTCATATAGAAATCACCTAAGAAGTTTTGTGGAAGGAAATCGCTTTGAGCTCTCTCCTCTAAATATCGGCTCGTTAGTGGAGCCATGGTTCGAGTCTCACTCAATTTTGTTTCGCCTCATAAGCAAAGGGCCGAAGTGTGTCTAATAAATTTATTAACAGTATTTCAACATTTTGAAAGAAACTAATAACGAAATTAATGGCCCTCCCTTCGGTTCTTGAGCTGACTTTACTCAAACAACAGAATATGATTTCTAAAAAGTGGGAATTGAAGAAATTAACGAATATGGAAACAAACACTCGTTAACCTCGCGTTCAAAAGCTTAATAAGCGTTGGCACCGGGAAGGGAGGAGAGAGCAAACCGTTATTTTGCCTTGAGATTCTCTGATTTTACAATATTTCGCTGCCATTTAATTAAAAAATAACTCACAAAAGTGTTAAATGTACCATACAAGTAATAATTATATTATACTTCAGGTAACAAATGGTTATGATACTTTATGTTCTAATCTGCGCATCTACCTCAAAATTCCATAAATTCTAAACTTACCTCGCTTCTTCCAAAACTGACCTCTCTAAATTTTACATTAACTAATTTTAAGCTTAATGCAAACTAAATTTATCTTTTTCACTTTCGAATAGGTATTCCGAATTGCGTATCTTCCTTGTTCTGGCCTCAGATGTTTGGTATTTAATTGTTATTATTAATTAGAGCTATTATTTTGATTGTATATATATTAACAACATTCCCTTCCAAGAGGGGTAATTTGTTCTCCATAATTGGGAAACGTATCAATTAACTATCCAATTAGAATATAAATTACGCAATTAAAACAAACTAGTTGGGGATAAAACCACATCCATTTTAAAGCCGAATTACAAACAACAATTAATTATACTCTTTGTTTTCCTGTCGGTGTAAGATTACAATAGAATACAATAATATTTATCGCCACCGAAACTTTTCAATACAATAATCAGGCCAAAATTGAAATTAAATCAATATTCTTAAATTTTTAAGAAATAAGATATATATTTTTTCATTCATTGCTTATTTATTTGACGAACCTCCTTTATTAACGATGTAATATTTTCTTTTGATATCTTATATATTTTTCCAAGTAACTAATCTAAAAAATAAGGTAGTTAGCACTATTTTGCGATCTAAACCTCCATAACCCTGATGGGTCGCGATCAAGGTCAATAAAACTACCTTAGTAGCTATCGGAAACTTCTAATAATCATATTATTAAAGTTTAAAAAATTATAATAAATAAATAGAGTACTCTAAAGTTCCGATATTTTGGAACGAATAATTTGATTTATATGAAGAGAAGAATAATTGGGGTAATCAGTCAAATAAGAAGGCAAAAATAAATTATAATATTTATTTTGACATTTGCCGACGTTTCGACCTGAAGTTCAGGCCTTCATCAGGGCTAAGAAAATAATTAGATAACAAGGTATGAGAAATATAAGTAGTGTAGGTAAAATTAAAAATTAAAGTAAAATGAAGTTGTTAGAATAATAACCTCCTTCCTTTCATTCCGTTTCTCTGTTTTAACTCTTTATTATATTATACATTGTCTGTACATCTTGATAGACTTCACAATATCTCAATTTCCTGTCTAACTACTCTATTCGCAATGTCTTAATTTTACTATTTATTTTTATATTTTATATAACTTCATATTCCATTTTTCTGTTTTACATTTTATTCTAAGATTCTCATTTTAATACTTATGTCACCTTTTTTGATCATGTTTACTTCATCATTCCACACTTTGTAACGGTTATTATTATTTATCTCTTAGTTCTTAGTATTGTCATTATTCTAACAACTTCATTTTACTTTAATTTTTTTTTTTTACCTACACTACTTATGTTTCTCATACCTTGTTATCTGGTTCTTTTCTTATCCCTGATGAAGGCCTGAACTTATCATAAATATTATCATTTATTTTTGCCTTCTTAGTTGACTGATCACCCCAACTATTCTTCTCTTCATTATTCACGGCAGTCAACCATTTCACCCACAATTTGATTTATAATTGGACAGTACCGAGACTGTTGCTCTAATATTAGTGTGATGTCAAATCTTAGTTGGTATCGGAAACTTCTAACAATCAGATTATTAAAGAATAAATAAATAAATCAAGTACTTTAAAGTATCGAAACTTTGAAACCTATATTCCGAGACTTTTGCACTAATAATAGTGTGATTTGGAATCTTAGTTGGTATCGGAAACTTCTAACAATCAGATTATTAAAGAAAAAATAAATAAATAGAGTACTTTAAAGTATCGTAACTTTGAACACTAGTGGATCCAGGATTTAAGTATGGGGGGGCTTCAGCCCAAAAGATTTCTTTTTCATATACATATAACGATAATTAATTAGAAAAAAAAATAAAGAAATTAACTACCTATATGAAATGGTGGTTCTTGAAGTCCTATTAAATGTAATTACACGAACAAGAATTTTTTTAAGAGAGAGTTTTTAATATTTTTTTCTGTAAAACATGGTTATATTTTACCATTTGGGGGGGGGGGGAGAAGGCTTCAGCCCGAAAGCCCCTCCGTAGATCCGCCTGTGACTTTGAAACCAATATTTTGATTTATACTTGATTAGTACCCAGACGTTTGCTCTAATATTAGGTGATATCGGAAACTTCTAACGATAAGATTATTAAAGAAAAAATAAATAAATAGAGTACTTTAATGTATCGAAGCTTTGAAACCAATATTTTGATTTATATTTGGTCGGTGCCGATTATAGCGACTTTTAGTAATATTCTTCAGTAAAGATACTTTTATTGTGATATTAATGCGGTATTTATACTTCGTTGGTACAGGGGAAGCCTATAAATAGTTATTTCTATGATTAGTGATTAATTATAGTTAAATCAGCTATAAAATGATTTGAGTACTCACAAGTATCGATACTTCGGTTCCTATATTCTACTGGTATCGATATTTTATTGGTATCGGATAACCCTTCGGAAAAGAAACTAGTATCAGAACTCTGTATTTAAGAAAGGAAATCTTACAAAAATAAAATAGCTAAGCTAACATTTAAATAAACATTAATTAATTTTCATGAATAGTTATCGATCAGAATGAGGCGAGCCTGATTTTATGAGCAGTTATTTTATTCTGAAAATCAACTATCTGCCTAATCAAGTTATTGTTATTCCTAATAATAACATCCCTTATCGTTATCCATAAAAAGAAACTGTTAACCGAAAATAGGTTTTTGAAAATAACCGCCAACCCTTGTTACTACATTCAACTGTGAAACGGTGCACATAGATAGCGCTACCAGCAATGAAATTTGAAATTCTTGCAATTCATTTGCTCCAAATTACTTTTTAAGGGCTTTTTTTTTATCCCAATTGGCTCCGATTACACTCTATTATGAATATTATTTTTAAATAATTGTAAAAATCAGTATTATTCACATAGAAGTAGGGTATTTATCGAATTACTGGAACTAATGGACTTGTTCCCGCCATGTTTAGTCTACTCAAAGTTCAACGGTTGATAGTTGTGTGTTTACATTTGTGACCTGTTATATGTTATGGAGTATTTTTCATGTATTAATCTTTACTATTTGGATAATTTGACATTGGTAATGTATTATTTTAACATTGTTGTGGTCATTCAAATATTTCCTACCTAGTTTTTTGTTTTTGATAGAAGCCAGTTATGTTTTATATTCAGATGTACTTAGCATGCCTATGTAGTTTTTCAAATGATATTTATTTAGAAATAATCTAATTAGTATTGTAAATCTAATCTATTTATAGCTGGATGTTTGGTGCTTAGATATATGTTGATATTTATTTTTTATTCTTGATTAGTAAAATTTATGACAGATTACCAGTTTTTTAAAGAATCAAACATGCATCTACTAGATGTTAACGAAATGCTGGTTGTTTTTTGTTTTGGGGCATTACCTTCAAAGTAAACAATAATATGAATACTAATTCTTTACTTGTTAGCCCACAATTGAAACTTATCTTAATTCCTATAAAACTTGTTTCTTTCATATTTGTTCATAACATTTATAATATGTAAAAAATTTTATTTATTGCTTTATTAAGAATTTTTATGTTCACAATGCATTTTTTAACTTGGTACTGATTTCTATCCTACAAATTTGATCATCTTGTCAATAATAGGTAGTGAACATTCTGTAAAACGCCATATTTTATATGTGATAATACAATTTGGAAAGATGATCAATTATTTTAAAAATTTATTAGTACTAATCCAAGAAATTTCATCCATTACTGATTATTTTATATTCATTTTTTTTTTTTAATTGAATACAATATATCTAAAATATTTTATGATTATAGATTTTTGCTTATTTAATATTCGACACACTTTATATTCATTATAATTTTATAGTGATCCAAGAAAACAAGATACAATTGACCACCTAAATACCGTATATATTTTTATTATTTTTTCTTTCATTTCTTCTTTTTTTTTTTTTTTTTAGTGAAGTGAAGTTGATGGATTGAATCATTATGTCCCGAAATTCTTCTGTGGCAGTTCTAGCAGACTGTACTGACCTATATAACAGTCATGCTTCATTGATAGGTAATTAAAAATTTTATCTGTTTTATAAAAATAAATGATAGAACTGTAGTATTGTAAGGTTTATTTGGAACTAGTTCAAAAGAATTCTGCACGGATTATGCATGGTTCACAATCACTTCGGTCACTCTTGTTCATGGAGTGCCGAATGCTTTCGGGTTTATCCGAAAGAAAAGGAAGGCGACCGATCTCTTGAGACAGTTACTATTTAACTTTCCCCCTGTTTAAGTACTTCTATAACCTTAACCATGTTCAGTTATATAGCAGGAGCCGACTTACATTTGAAATTGAGGCTACACATCATGAATCCTGAATTAAACTTGTACATATATTATAGATTTGTGTAAAAGAAATAATTATAGATAAAAACCTTTAATTATTACATCTTTGAAAGCAATTTCATGATATTATTTTTCTTATTCATGATTTCCATTATTTATTATTTATCAGATTTTTCATAGTAATAACCTTTATAATAAAAATTAATATTTAAGTAAATACATAATTTGTTATTAAGGAAGTTCCATGAAGGGAATACTTTTTTTTTTTTTCAAAAATGCATGAAAAGAGATTGTGTGATTGGACAGTAGCTGACGCCATAAAAGACTAGAACATTTGGCTGTTTTGACGATTTCATGAACAAGTGTGATCCAAGTGATTGTGAACCATGCATAATCCGTGCGGAATTCTTGTGAACTAGTATCGTTTGTTTGACTGTTGGGCCACCATCACATCGATCATGGCGTACACGAATGCTTAAATTAGTCAAGTGTGTTCAAAAGTATACCATATTTTTTTTATGTTAAATATTCTAAATAACAGAATGAGCCAATTTATCACTAACATTTGAATTACACTATTGCATGCTCTGATTATCGAATAATGTCCTCCCCCCCTTTGTAATTTTTTTTTAATTGCTTAGAACATTAATAATTATATAGCTAGGAATTCAATTAACATTATAGTGATTGAATTGAGGAAACAAATGAAAAGGTAAAAACCAACTTAATTATACAATAAAAATTAAAAATATATTTAAATTAAAAAAAAAAAAAGACTACAGAAATTGCGAAATTCTATTCATCCCAATGGAATGTACTTCCATATGTACTTGAACATCTTGGTAGATTAATAGGGAAGTTGACATCTACGAATATTTAAACTTGGTTTAATGGTCTGGTACTTTTCACTTTACCCAGGCAAGTAGATTTCATCCCATATATAAAAGTCTTAAGTTTCTCTCGGAGTGTGTTAGGCACCCAACTATTGCAACGGGTTAAGTTAAAATATTTGTATAAATCAATTTCCCTATCAATCACAAAGATGAAGTAGATATGGAATTGCATTCCCTTATAGTGGATAGAATTTTCAGGATGGTAACTGACCTGAAAAAAAAAAATGGGAAAAGTTAAAGAATTTTTTTATTACATAAATATTTGTTTTCATATTGTAAATAAATATGCAGTGGATATATTTTATAATGACATTGAAAGGGTAAACTTCGTCATCATAAATGACCATACTTGCTATATTTAACCACCTTTGTCAATAACGTCATTGGTCGTTTTATTGAAATCATACAAAGATTATGAATAAAATTTAAGCAAAATTAAATTAAAACAGTGCTTGTTTGAAAAGAAAACGCACCAATACTATTTACTATTTTTAATATATTTATCTGGGTCAAGATCTGGCTTGCAAACACTCATGAAATGAATTTAGTTATAAATTATACATTTTTGATATTTGGGTCCCCAGAAATATTGGTCAGGGAAAACTATGATTAATATGAAACAGTCAGGGAATTTTACATTAACTGTCTGGCAGCCATCCCGATTTCTCAATTTCTGTAGACTGTTTTTTTTTGTTTTTTTACTTTCACTTACCTATATATGCAATATATAGTAAGGGGAAGTATTACGATCATGAAAATTTTCGAATCTGAGTTTTCAACGGAAGTACATGCTTTTAGGCATCCTGAGTCCAAATAACAAGGTCCCACAAAATGATGTGTGTGTGGTCAGTCTAGCTTAAAAACGACAAGTCGTATGAAAGTGAAATTGCATATTCAAGGTTTTTATAAACCTTCGTTGTTACAGCAACATTTTCGTCAAAATCGGCAAACTGGAAGCAGTACTTTATATAATCAATTTAACACATTTTTAAGATTTTCTCAAAAACAGATCTAACGATTTTGATTAAAATCAGCATATCAGTTTATTATTAAGCAGTTTTTAATATAATTTAGTTTTCGACTCGGAGTACCTCAAAACGTGTATTCCTGTTGAAAACTCAAATTCAAAAATTTTCATGATTGCAATACTTACCCTTACTATATATTTCATATATAGGTAAGTGAAAGTAAAAATCGGCTAACCAGAAGTGACATTTTATATCATGGACTAGACACATTTTTACGATTTTATCGAAAAGGGCCCTAAGATTTTGATTAAATTAAATTATATCAGTGTAAAGTTAAGCAATTTAAAATAAAATGTAGGTTTTATTCTGATTGGTGTTCTCTAACAAGTCTTAAATAATAATTAACCATTTCACATTAATCTCTAAAGAAAAAATAGTTAAATATAAAATATGAAAGAATTTAATTATTAACTAAAGGAGAAATAAGAGATCGTGACGGAGAATAGTTGTAATTGAGAAACCCAAAGAATACGAGCTCGTCTGAAAAATTACAACAGCCTTCCATATGTAACTTGAGCTGAATATAATACGGACTCTGACAATATTATGTAAATATACATATGCGGTTTTCATAAATGCTATCGTTGATATTATTTAATTTTATGAAATACAGTGATGTAAAAATTAAAATTTGTATATATAAGGGTATTTAAACAAATAAAAATACTAACTATGAAATGTAAATAAATATAGCATCAATGATTTTTACTTTCACTTCCCCTTTGTCTGAAAACACTTATTTTTCCTAAAAAGAGCAGTAAATGAAAGTCGTGTGATGTGCGCAGTTTTTTTTTTTTTTAAATCAATATATTTTTTTTATTTTAACATTTTAGTTTTTAAAATATTAAAAATTTCTTTTCATAACATATGATCACACATCATACCATTTCATATCAATTAATAATCAAGATACTTAAACTATAATATATTTTACATTACATGTGTCAAAACATTCACAGGATCTCACAAAACAACTATAGCTGTCAAAGTTAAAAATCAGTCATGTCATCCACTCAAAACATCGTTACATACTTTTTAGTGGATTGATTAATCACACTGTACACAATAATTTGTTAAAATTATGAGCTCAAATTTAAAATGCCATCCAGCGGCTCGCTCAATAAATTGTTATATATCTTTTAGGAAATTAATTAAACAAATTTTATTCTATAGTGAGTCAGTTTTTCTTAGCTCAAATTGTTCCAAAACACTCAAGGGACCTCACAGAATAATTTAAAATATCAAACTTAAAAATCAATCCAACCATACACCCTAAAAATATTTACATATCTTTAAGTGGACAACCAAAACACATAACACTCCTGTCACTTTGCTTTCAAAATACCCATGGCCAGTCATTCATATTATCATTTCTTTCACTTTTTCCTCATTTTCATTAGCTGTTAAGGTGTGGGGCATCCAGAATTCTTGTCGTCATTAGCACTTGTATCACTCATAAACCTTGTTTTTCTCATAGTGGACTCACTAAAAGCAAGATTTCTAAATTTTGTGACATTTTATTTTGTTTTTATTGCAAAATTTAATTCTAATTCTCTGATCCATTTTTCCAAGATATCAAATTTTGCAAACAAATACACATAACCTTCTCCACAACTGATGGGAGACTAATCATCCAATATGTTACAGGAGATTAAGACGTGTTTATAAACATATCAAAAAAATTGCCCTAATCCGACTTATACAACTCGCATGAATAAAATTTCCTGTTACTTTTTGAACAAACCTAATTTCTGTTTTAATTTGTTTACATTTGATTATTTTACTTAAGTTTTCATATTAGTAATTTAACTCCTGGCTAATTAATTTATATATTGTGATCCTGGCCCAGCTGTCGTCCAGAAGTGGTGGTATTGCCCTAATTATATCAACTTAACAAATGTAATGTATGTGTAAAAATCTATAATATAATTACGGATTCTCAATTAAGTACAATTTTTTTTTAGGTCTGAATGGGCCATCATCAGTCTTGAGTATTGAAAATGAAACTATACTCACAAACAACACAGACATTTCTCCTAGTGAAGTAATTGGCAGTGTGAGTTTCCAAGAAAGAGTCCGATCTACAGATTTAGCTGCACTTTTTCCCAGAGGTAGCCTCAATCAAACATTTAAGAAGAAAAAGAAGGAGAAGAAAAAAAATAGTGAAAGTTTCCTATCTACTTCACAATCGTCAGAAAATATTTCATCTTTGCAAAGCAATACTAATGTTACATTGTCAGATGAAAATGTATCAGCTTCTTTTGAAGAATGTTCTGAAAACAAAGAGGAAGGATCCTCTAAACCATTTAACAAGCGTTTGTATCTCAAGAAGAAATCCGTCAATATTTCCTTTGATTCTGGTTCCTTAAATGATTCTATCCCCGAAAAGACCCTTAAGAGGAATAGTCGGGCTGTCAATGTTACTTTAGACCAACTACATTTTAGAGGAAAAGATGAAACAGATGAAAGTGTATCAGATTCTTTTGAAGGATCGAAAAAATTTGGAAATGAAAAAGAATCCGCTAAAATATTTAAAAAACGTTATATTAGAAAGAAATCTGTTGATATATCTTTTAATTCGAGTTCCTTAAACAATTCTGTAGCTGAAAAGAGCATTGATGATAGTCCAATCAATAATGTTTCTTTGCAATCTAAAAGGAAAATTGCATTGAGGAGTCATAAGTTGAAATCTGTTCTAAATATTGATAACCTAAAATCAGCTGAGTCTTCTGAAGAAAACAGTACGAGCAAAGAGACAAAATCAAATAAAAAATGTATTAACATTTCTTACAGTCAACAAACAAATGAAGAAAATAATGAAAGTGAACTAACATCAACTGAAGGAAACAGTTCAGAAGAAAATGCATCCAAACATGATAAGGTGAATGATTCTTTGAAAGACATTGATGATAATTCAGAAAAAGTATTTAACAAGAAATTGTATCTTAAAAAGAAGTCCATTAATATCTCGTTTGATACAAGTTCGGTAAGTGATCCAGTCATTGAAAACAATCGAGTTAGTGACGTTTCTTTGGACCCCTTTACTTCCAAAATTGCAAATATTACAGAATCAACCAAATTCCTTCCTGTTTCTTTCCAAGATTCTCAACAAATCGAAATCAAGGAGGAACCTACAAATGCATTTAACAAGAATTTGTATCTTAAGAAGAAATCTCTTCATATTTCTTTTGATACAAGTTCCGTAGATGGTACAATCACTGAAATAGTCAAGGAAAATAATCAAATTGATAACATCTCTTTAGAACCATCATCTTCTAAAATAACAAATGTTACAGAATCAGAAGAAAATCTTTCTAAAGAGTTAAGAGATCTCAAAAATGGTAACGGAACAATAAATCACATCACCAATGAAAAGTTAAATTCAACTAGTTTAGTAATATCTAACTCACCAGAAATTCATAATATTGAAGAAAAACAAAACTCTGAAACAAAAAATGGTAACATTTCAAATATTCTAATTAGTGATTCTTTGAAAGCAATCGAAGAAGAAAAAATTTGTTCTATAGGAAATTCTAATAACATTTCTTGCCAGATAAACGAGGTATCTAAGGAAAACCAGCCGATTACACCTGAAGAAGATATTTTCAATGAGAATACCTCCAAAGGCAATACAACCATTGATGACAATTACTCTAATCTAACAAAAAATGATGAACATATTCCAGATGGATCAAATTCCCATATTAATTCTGTCGATATTAATCTAGAACCAAATGATATAATACTTTCAAAAAATTTAGCAAAGAAAACGTCAAAAGATGAAAATACAGAGGTGATAGATTTCCGAAATAGTAATAATGCTGTAAGTGGAAACAACGAAAGTAAATCTTGTGAAATTGATAATGTTGTAATTACAGATGCAGAAAAAAACAAATCAATAACAGAAAGTGAAATAGAAACAAATATATCAACTAATGATTCTTTGAAAACCATCAACGAAGAGTTAGCTAAAGTATTTAACAAAAATTTTAATCTTAAGAAGTCTATTAATATATCATTAGATTCACATTCCTTAAATGATTCAACAGTCGAAAAGAGTAACACTACAGATTTAGCTGAATATGCTTCTGCTACTTTGGAAGGATCTCAAAAAATCAAAAATGAAGAGGAATCCGCTAAATTATTCAATAAGAATTTGTATCTTAAGAAGAAGTCTATCAATATTTCATTTGATTCAAGTTCTATAAACGGTTGTGATACAGTCAGTGAAAAGGTTATTGAGGGTAATAATGAGGTTACTGATGGTTATGTAAATTCTTTAACATCTAAAATTACAAATATTACAGAATCAACTGAAAATGGTTCTGCTCCTTTTGAAGGATCTCAGAAACTGGAAATCGAGGAGCCATCCACTAAAGTATTTAACAAGAATTTGTATCTTAAGAAGAAGTCTATCAATATTTCATTTGATTCAAGTTCTATAAATGATAGTGATACATTCAGTGAGGCTAATAATAAAGAGGTTACTGACGGTTGTGTCAATTCTTTAATGTCTAAAATTACAAATATAACAGAATTAACTAAAGATGCTTCTGCTCCTTTTGAAGGATCTCAGAAACCGGAAATCGAGGAGCCATCCACTAAAGTATTTAACAAGGATTTGTATCTTAAGAAGAAGTCGATTAATATATCATTTGATTCAAGTTCCATCAATGATATAATTCCTGAAAAGGGGCTCGATGAAAATAATCAGGTTGCTGAGATTTCTTCTGATCTCTTGTCTTTTAAAACTATAAATGATATAGATTCTGTCAAATGTATTGCTGCTTCTTTGGAAGGCTCTGAAAAAATGGAAACAGAGAAAGAATCTGCCGTAGTATTTAATAAGAATGAATATCTAAAGAAGAAGTCTATTAATATTTCATTTGATACAAGTACCATGAGTGATCCAATAATCATTGAAAAGAATGGTCAAGTTGGTGACATTTCTTTGAATCCCTTATCTTCAAAGAGTACAGATTTAGCCGAACCTGTTTCTACTCTTTTTGAAGCATCTCAGATAATGGAAACTAAGGCGGAATCTGCCATAATATTTAACAAGAATTTGTATCTTAAGAAAAAGTCTATTAATATCTCGTTTGATACAAGTTCCGTAACTGATCCAATCCCTGAAGATAGGTGCGAGGGAAATAGTCAGGATGTTGACATTTCTTCGGATCCCTTGTCTTATAAAATTACAAATGTTACAGAATCAACCGAAGGTGTTTCTGCTTCTTTAGAAGGGTCGCGAAAGATTGAAAGTGATAAGGAATCTGCTAAAGTATTTAACAAGAATTTGTATCTCAAGAAGAAATCCATCAATGTTTCATTTGATTCCAGTGATTGTGATCCAATCAGGGAAAAAGGGATTGAGGAAAATAGTCGGGTTGCCGAAATTTCTTCAGATCCTTTGTCTTATAAAATTACAAGTGATACTGAAGCGACTGAAGATGTTCCTACCGCTATGGAGGTATCTCAAAAAATGGAGATCGAGGATCCATCCGCAAAAGTGTTTAACAAGAATTTGTATCTTAAGAAGAAGTCTATCAATATTTCATTTGATTCAAGTATGTCAAGTGATTGTGATCCAATCAGGGAAAAAGGAGTCGAAGAAAATAGTCTAGTTGCCGAAGTTTCTTCAGATCCGTTGTCCTATAAAATTACAAGTGATACTGAATCGACCGAAAATGTCCCTGCCTCTATGGAGGTATCTCAAAAAGTGGAAATCGATGATCCATCCACAAAAGTGTTTAACAAGAAATTGTATCTTAAGAAGAAGTCCATTAATATTTCATTTGATTCAAGTTCCTTAAATGATCCGATTCCTAAAAAGAACCTTGAGGAAAATAGTGAAGTTTGTGACATGTCTTTGAACCCTTTATCTTCAAAAATTACAAATGTTACAGAATCAGCAGAATGTGGTTCTGCTTCTTTTGAAGAAGCTCAGGAAATGGAAACTAAGGAAGAATCTGCTAAAATATTTAATAAAAACTTATATCTTAAGAAGAAGTCTATTAATATTTCATTTGATACAAGCTCCATAAATGAACCAATCATTGAAAAGGGGCTTGAGGGAAATAGTCAGGTTGCAGACTTTTCTTCAGATCCCTCGTCTTTTAAAATTACAAATGTTACAGAGTCAGCCGAAGATGTTATTACTTCTTTGAAAGGATCTCAAAAAATGGAAGCTGCTGAGGAATCTGCTAAAATTTTTAATAAGAATTTGTATCTTAAGAAACAGTCTATCAATATTTCGTTTGAACCAAGTTCCATAATTGATAGTGAACCAGTCAGTGGAAAGGAGCTTAAGGGAAATAGTGAGGTTTCTGATGATTGTTTTTGTTCTGTTAAGTCTAAAATTATAAATGATACAGAATCAACTGAAAATGCTTCTGCTCCTTTTGAAGGATCTCAAAAACTGGAAATCGAGGAGCCCTCCACTGAAGCATTTAACAAGAATTTGTATCTTAAGAAGAAGTCTATTAATATGTCATTTGATTTAAGTTCCATAAATAGTGTAATCTCTGAAAAGAGGCTCGAGAGAAATAATCAGATTGCTAACGTTTCTTCTGATCCCTTGTCTTATAAAATTATAAATGAGGCAGAATCAACCGAACGTATTTCTGGTTCTTTGAAAGGATCTCGGGAACTGGAAATAGAAGAGGAAAGAAAAAACATGGTTTCTAGTGTTTCTCAAGACTTAAAGGTTCTCCAGAATACCAGTCATAATACAAATCACCTATCTAACGATAATGGAAATGCAAGCTATATCGCTATAATTGCTAATCCTTCTAAAATTAATAATGTGACAATTATTGATGAAGGAACTGAAAATTCGTCAACGGAAAATGACACATATACAAAGAAAGCATTTAAACAAGATTTTTCTGAGGGAAATTCTAGTAGCAGAAAAGCGGAATCAATTCCTGGTTCTAATAACATTTCTTATAGTCAGATAAATGAGGTTCCTAAGGAAAGTCCCTTAAAGTCACCTGAAGGAAATAGTTGTTCCCATGTGATTACCTCCAAAGGCAATAACACTATTGAAGACAATCATTCTACTATGGCTGACAACAGTGAACATCTTCCAGTTCGTGAGTCAAGTTTCAATTCTGTCAGTAATAATCCAGAACTGAATGATGTAAGTCTTTCAAAAGATGAAAACATAGAGGTAATAGATATCCAAAATAGCAGTGGTGCTGTTAATGCAAACAGTATAAGTAAATATTCTGAAATGGTTAATGTTGCAATTATAGATGAAGAAAAAAACAAAGCAATATTTGAAAATGTTATGCATTCAAAGATTGCAACTAATGATTCTTTGAATATAATGAACTTAAAAGACGTTGAACAAGATTGTTCTGAAGGCATAAAGGGAAAATCATTTCCTAATTCTATTATTACTTGTAGTGAAATAAATGAAGAAGCCAATACAATAATTAGTGAGAATCATTCTAGAATAACCAACAATAATGTGCTTCTTCCACATCATGAATCGTCTTCTGGTTTGAATTCTGTCGATAGAGATCTAGAACCGGATGATAAAATCATATCACAAAATCAAGTAAAAAATAATTCAAAAGATGAAAATACAGAAGAAATATATCTTCAGAATAGTAATGATGTAGTAAATGGAAACGATATTAACAAATCTTCTGAAATTAATAGTGTTACCGTTTTTAATGAAAAAAATAAATCGACGACCGAAAGTGAAACGCATAAACAAATTTTAATTGACAGTTCTTCTAATGTAATAACGGAGAGAGCCATTGTAAAAGATTGTGAAGAAAATTTGAAATCAATTTCTACTTCTACTGAGATTCCTTGCAGTCAGATTGACGAAGAGTCAAATGAACTTAAGCTCTATTTAGCTGAAGAAAACTCAATCGAGGAGGTTGCTTCCCAAGACTCGCAGCCCAATACAGAGAAACATTCAAGTGTAATGGAAAATATAGAACAATGTTCAGGTCATGTCTTGATTTCTCCTCTTGTTCCTGAAGGTAATGATCAAGAGTTGGACAATGAAGCAGTTCTGTCAAAATCTCTTAAATCTGGAAGTTCTAGTCCAAAAATTAAAAATAACATAAATTCTATTATGAAAAAGCAAAACGTGATAGACGCAAATAATCTTTCTAAGAGTAACAGTTCTGCCATTTTTGATAAAGAAAATAATACATCAGAAACAGCAAGTGATATACAAACAAACATTTTAACTAATGATTTGTTGAAAGCAAAAGATGTCGAGGAAGATTGTTCTGCAGGAAAGAATGATGAAGAAAATAAGGAAGGTCAGCCAATTTCTCTAGAAGAAAACTGTTTAAACGAGAACACCTCTAAAGACAATAAGAAAATTAATTCTGAAGGTAGTGATCAAGGACAGGTTGAAGAAACAGTTGGTTCGAAATCATTCAAATCAAAAAAGTATTCAAGTACAGCATTGAATAGAAATTCTATTAAGAAAAGCCAAAGAGAAGAGTTGATAGACATTCAAAACAACAGTGAGAATGTAAATGAACATTTTCGTGTTAGTACGAGAAGATATAGTAAAAGGAGATCTTCTAAAATTGATAAGGCTGTTGTTGAAGATGAAAAAAATATATCAGCTACCAATGACCCCTCTAAAGTAGTAAGTAAGAGGTCCATTGTACAAGATAATTCGGAAGAAAATCATTCCAGTTCCAAAAGAGTAAAATCAATTTCCACTTCTATCAACATTGCTTGTCAGAATAAAGAATCCATTGAGAGTCCTCCAAAGTTAGCTGACTCTTCCAAAGCCATTAAGGTAGTTGAAGACAATAATAGTATAACTGACAATATTGGACATCGCACAGATCATATGTCAAAAAGAAATCTCGATATGCGTATGTCAGTTGGTTTGAGTGTTATTTGTAAGGATAACGAGAGGATGCCTGAAACACGTACTGTCAAAAACATATGTCATAGTACACCTCTTGTCAAGTATCAAAAGAATAAAATTACTAGCAAAAAACCTTCTCTTCCAGAAGAAGTGAAGACTGATTCAAAAAAAGTTTTTGCATGTCCTGATGTACCAGCTCGTAATCTAAGGGAGAGAAGTATCAATAACAAATCTTTGAATATTTCAAAGAGGAGTAGAAAAAATGATAAAAACTGTTCTGATAATTTAGAAAATTCTGCCAAGAAAAATAAAAGTTCGACATCAGGGAATGGAACTGAAGATTTTATTGAGGATATCAGTATCATTCCTAATCCTAAACCTTTTTCTCACAGTAGGGTGATGTATCACAGTACCCCCATCAGTAAGGCATTCGGTAAGAAGAACAAAAGCAAATTAAAAGGCGCCAGCAATGTAATAATAGAAGATAAAAACATTCAGCAAGATGATAAAATGATACAGGTTTCTAAATCGATTTTTGGGTCTACTACAGAAGAAACCAATGGAACTGTATCTAAAAAGAAATCGATAGAATTTTCTAATAATTGTAGTTCACGTAATGAAAAAAGTGAGAACAGAACAAAAAGAAAAAGTGATCTACTTCATACCGAAATAAAAAAGTTACCAAGAATGGAGTCAATCAGTGAAAGCAGGTCTTACCATTCAAATTTCATATCCACTTTCGAAGATGACGTCAGTTACTGCACTACTAGAAAATCCATGAAAAGGGTGGCATTCAAAAGTCTTTCTTCACTTGAAAGTTCTACCTCTGGTTATGGGAATAGTTCTGATGACTATGCTCCTATAAATAGGAAATCTGTCGGATTCAGAGATGCTATTTCACTCATAGAAGATACCATCGGTAATAGTTCTGAAGGAGATATACGTGATGCTATTAATAGCAATTCGAGCATTGTCAATCCAAATTCGATCGGAATACATGATACCCCTGTCAATGAACCTCCGGTCAACGAATCAAAAAATAGGATAGACAGAAATGAGCTTTCTCTTAATTATAGTGCTGAAGTTCCTGAAATAATTTTGACTGAAAATGAAATAGAATGTAATGAAATGTCAAAAGAGTGTTCTCTGTTTAATAAGTTAATCAAAATGGCAGAGAAGAAAAAATCAGGTGGAAATATGACTACAAGACAAAGTAAAACATCTAAAGGTAGGAAAAAGTCTGGAAGTTCAAAATCAGTTGCAAGTCTTGCAAAGTCAGATATACCACATCTTGAAAAGTGGGTTTCACCAAACCTTATTAAGTTTTTGAACGGCAAATTAATGACAGATGCCCTCGATCATGTAATAAATACTGATCGAATAGTTTCTATCCTTTGTTCTGCAGTCAGCGCTGTTAGAAACTTACAAGATGTTAACGATATAGATTTTGCACTATTGCCACTAAAAAATATCCTGTTGAAGTTTAGAGTTTGTTGCAACATGATAGAATATTGCACGTTTATTTCCAGATTCACTCCTTTCGAATTTCAACGCAAGGCGTTGCCTTTAGAGGGTTATTTCGGCAGTTGCAAAAGAGGTATTAAAAAGAAATTAACAGATCCAATATTGACAGAAACTGAGAAAATGAATGTATTTTTGAATTGAAATATTTTTAAGTTGTATATTGTATATTATTTTAATTGTAAGACATATATGTAAATTGTTCTTGATACCATCTATATTTTTTATATTGTTCATAGTTGTAAAAAAGAAAAATACTTTTTAGTTTATAAGTGTAATAATTTTGTGTCATAATTTATTTATTTTTTATTGTAGGAACATTATCAGAAATTTGTATATTAATGATTGTATTATAACTACTAAATATATAAAAGGCTGTGTTGTATACATTTTAATGGTTTATTATTATTTATATTGAATGTTTTATAAGAATTTATTTTATATTAATGTTATTAAAAACTTAAATTTATATTGTTTTTTCTTTTTCCATTACTTAGTTTGTCACTAAAACTAGCTTAAATTTAAATAAGGTTGACGGCAATTATCTTGGTTCATAACACTGCATTCTGTTTATCAATTAATTTGAACATAAAACCTTTAAAGTCTCGTCAATGAATTGCAAAAAAGGGCTTGTTAAGTGCATGGAGGATGGACAAGCAATTAACTTAGGGAGGGGTGGTACACATAATAAAAGTCTCTATCCCTTCCGCTTAATGGTGATGGTGGGGAAGGGGCGCTGTAAAAATGATATGCAACATATCACTAGAAGAAGAAATTAATTTAAAACTTCATTCATGTTTTAAACCATGTTAAAAATTAGAATAAGCTTTATCTTTGTTAATAATAGACTGATTGTTTTTTGTTAAAGTGTATACTACTTGCCTTATTTGTAATAATTTATGACTTCAGAATTTTACTCTAAAACATTGGATACTTTAACTGTTGAAAAGCTGAATTGTTGATTTTTAAAATATCAATAACTTTTCTTGTCTAGTTAAAATCCTGTAAATATTCGTCTGGATAATTCTATTTTAGACTTTATCTAGGTGTGAAATACAAATCTGAACTATCATCAATCTAGGAATCGGAGCCCAAAGGTAAACCTCGCCCCAAAAGAAGCTGGTCTACGAAATTTGTAATTTAATACTTCTATTAATTAATTTATTTGATGTATGTAGTTTGAGTAAATGACATTTTCGTCTGTTGTACAATGACTTTCTTTTTTGGTTTTCAATTTATTGAAATTAACCTACGTTAGGATCGCCAGGCTTAATAATAATCTTTTTATCATATCGAAGTGGTACAATTGTCACACACTTTTTTTCTTAAAATATTTGTTAGTAAGTAAAAGATAGATACAATTTTTCTAATATTACCTTTTTCATAAATAAATATATTGTTCGTAATGATGTAGAGATATCAGAAGGAGTTGATCGGGGGGTGCAGTCAAATTAATAATGAATTAAACAAGTAGAATTATTTTAATTTTTGCCGACGTTTCAACCCACTTTGCAGGTCTTCATCAGGGCGTAGGATGTAGCACTGCGGGAGGCAGTTGAAACACTGCGTCAAATTAATAATGAATTTAACAATTAAAATTATTTAATTTTTGCCGACGTTTCAACCCACTTTGCAGGTCTTCATCAGGGCGTAGGATGTAGCACTGCGGGAGGCTAATTGTTTATTCATTATTAATTTGACTGCACCCCCCCCCCCCCGATCAACTCCTCAAATATATTTTTCATTAAAATCAATACTGTTTTGTAGCTTGTAAGAAAGTATTTCTAAAAGTTATTTCATTAGATGGAATGGGTCTAAGTGCCCTAAAACTTAATTAACTACAGGAAACATATGGTTACTACACTTGTATTTATATATAATTTATGTATTTAATTAACATATACTATACTATACGTTTGTATACATCCTTCATATGCAAAATTAAAGGAGGTGAACGTTCATGCTCAAAAATAAACAATTACATTTTCTCGTATGCTTTGACGAACATTATCAAAATATTTAACATTTATGTAACTTTGAACTTATAAATGATACATAAGTTTAAAGAAAAAACTATATTCTACAATTTTCTTATAGAACAAAAAAGCAGTGTTGCTAAAAAGACAAGTTTGACAAAAACATTAAAAGAAAATAGGCAATTTAAATTTAAATGAATATCGAAAAGTATATACAAATGAATGAAAATGAAATTTTGTCAGCTTTAATTTCCTATATGACAATATTTCGTCTGCAACATCTCATTTTCAAGATATACTCATATGAGAAAATCTGGAAAAAGTGATCATTACGAGGAAGCAGAAGAGGTAGGGACAGGGATTTTTAGTATGTTTACCTCTTAAGTGTCCCTAACAAATTCCCAAAGTCAATTGCTTTTCCATCACTCAACAATCTAAAACCCCTTTGTTGACTGGAGCTTTAAGGGTTTGGAAACTTAAGATGTTTGTTATTTTTGTAAGTAAAGTTTTGGCATTTGATTTGGTGTTAATCACCAGCTCTAATTCTGTCTATAGATCTTTAAGACATTTGAATTTTATGAACAATGAGTTGATATTGTTACTTATAGAACTATTATTTTTAAACTAGCTGTAGTTGAACTTCAAGAAATAGTTAATAATTTTACTCTAAGCACTGATTCCCTCATCAAATAATTTTTATTGTATATTGGTAAGTGAAAAGTAGTAATATATAGAAATAAGTAAACGCAGCAATATGGGATGAAGACATTTTTTTTGTTTGATTACAATTATTATTTAAAATTAAACCATAACATGTGAAGATTTTTTTTTTTTTTACTTCATCGATACATGAACAAAAATAAAACTTTTAAAAATTCAACAATGTAACTTAGAATTATTATAATGTACAGAACTGTTCTAATTTACTATTCTACTTCCATCTGTGAATTCTCTTCTGCAGGTGAAAGTGTTCTTTTCAAAAGAAAAACTCCTTCACAGTAACTCATTAACATCTTCATTAAATCCTGAAAGAATCACAAACAAATATAATTATTTTTACTTTCACTTAACTGTATATGAAAGATATATTAAGGGAAAGTAGTTTTCAACAGAAATACATGTTTTGAATTTCCCTTAGTCGAAATAATTAAGTCCCGCAAATTGGTCTGTATGTGTAATCAGTCTAGCTCAAAAACGAAAATTTGTACAAAAGTGAAATTGCATATTTAAGGTTTTTATATGCTTGGGATGCTACAGTAACTTTCACTTATCGCTCTAGTTGAATATAAATTATTTTCTGGCAATGATGGGCTATTATAAAATTTTAAACGAGCTAAAGCTTACAGTTAACAAATCATTTATACCCTTAAAATAATAAAAATCTTATTTATTATATCGACGGTTGATTATGGATTGTACCACTATTAATTATTAAACTATTACAATGCAAAGTTTACTAATATGGAATTGTGATATTTGCATTGTCTGTCATAGATAGGTCAAATGTTGTCACACCAATTGTAAGTGGATATCACTGTTGGGTATCACAAAGAGAAAATTCAAAAAAATTATTCATTAATTTAATGTTCTAAAAGTTACATCATGATTTTTCGGAATAAACGGGAGGATAGATACTTAATTATTTAAATATAATATCAGCCTAGCAATACACATGCCTAGTGAGATTTGATAGTACATCTGTATATTTAACCAATAAATGATATTAGATTGAACTACAATTAGTTATTAAACTCTAATTTTTCTATTATAAAGTTTACTAAAATGGAGTTCCGAGATTTTCATTGCTTACTCTCGATAGTTGAAAAGTTGTCACACTATTGTAAGAGGATAATGTTGTGATTTCACAAAAGGGAAAATTCTTTCAATTATTCACTAATTTAATTTTCTAAAAGTTTTTTCCGGAATAAACGGACGATAGATACCTAATTATTAAAATATAATATCAGATCTAGAGTTATTAAACTACAGTATATGTATTTAAGGTTACATATCCATGAAATATTTTTATATTTAACTTTTTCTTTCACACAAATACAATGAAATAGTATTTTAAACAATGTCATTCATTGCCTTGATTCGGTGGATTTTAAATACTTGTTTTTCAAACTTAAAAAAATTAAACGTCTACATTTAGTAAAAAAAATACCATTTAATTTCCTTGGAAATTTGTGATTTACTTAATCAAGTTTTCAGAAATTATTATTTATATTTTTTTCGTGACTCTCCATTATCTTCTACAACTTTATTTATTGGATATTATTTTTTTTTCTAAAGGGAGCGGGATAGCTCAGTGGGTGAGCACTGACTTCCAGAGCTCAAGGTTCCAGGTTCGAGTTCGGCTGATGACTAGTAATTTTTCATTAGCCGTGAATAGACCCCGGATTCGAGTGATCCTCCTGAGGCACACCCAGCCTCTATAATGTAGGTACTCTTAATTTTAAAAAATTAAATAAGGAGAAAACCTAGTGGTTGAGCGTGATATTGGCCTAATCACCTCCCTGCACAACTGTTGGCCTAGTAACAGTACTTTCTCACATAGTACTGCACCCAAGACCATTCATGGATTGTAGTGGTACAGTTATACGTATACCTTCTGACTATTATTTCTGGGGATTCATTTTCGACTGGATAAGCATTTTCTCCTTTATTCAATAATCAAGTTCTTCCAAAAGTTATGTTTAGCCATTTTTATAGTTACTGTCAATAAGAGAGTTATTTTTTAAAAATAAACCAAATTAAAGGTACTTTAGAGGAAGACATATATGAACATTGGGCATTTAAAGTGACATCAATGTGGATAAGACCTAGCTGATATTAAAAACAACTTAATTATACACTGATATACTGAGTTTAATCAAAATCGTTAGAGCCGTTTTTTAGAAAATCGTAAAAATGTGTAACATCGTAGATATAAAGAACCACTTCCGGTTGGCCGATTTTGATGAAAATGTTGGTGTAATATCTGAGGCATATAAAAACCTAAAATACACAATTTCAGTTTCGTACGACTTTTCGTTTTTGAGCTAAGTTTACCACATAGATACACACAGGCCATTTTGTGTGACTTGGTTATTTCAACTCAAAGGACCTCAAAACGTGTATTTCTGTTGAAAACTCAATTCGAAAATTTTCACGATCGCAACACTTACCCTTACTATATGTTATATATATAGGTAAGAGAAAGTAAAAATTGGCTAACCGGAAGTGGCACTCCATACTGCGTTAGCCCGCTATACTTTCTTTGGACATTAAGGTAATTCAACGTAGCAAAAAAAGTATATAAATTTACTTAATATTACATCTAAATGAGTAAAAGTAAATAAATCATAGAATATATATATTTTTATTAATAAAATAAAGTGAAAATTGAAATGATCTAAACATATAAATAAATAATAATTTAAACATATCATAAATACTTCATCAGTTAAAGCTTTTGGATCCCTTTCAAATTGCAAAGCCAAAAATGACACTAAAGGAGTTATGCCAGAATGGTTCCTTACAGTCATCACAGAATCGAATTCAGTGGCCATATTTCTGACCAATGATTCGTTCACTTCTGAGGCCATCAATTCAGTTTTACTGGCCTAAAAGAGTATGATTATAAAAATTAGTAACATAAAAAAAAAGTATTATATATATTTTACATCAAAAGTAAATATAATATTAATTTGATAATTATAGCAAGGTATGTTAAACTTAAGATAAAGTATAACATACTGAAACTATATTATTGTGGGTTGATGGTTGACTGTAGTGAATAATTGAAGAGAAGGATGGTTGGGGGTCAAAATAAAAATAAATAATAATCTTCTTATTTTTCTTTTTTTATTTTATACACTATTCGGACATAATATCCAATATTGAAATTCAAAAAACAACAATAAACAAAAAAACACAACAAACAGCCATAATAAGAAATAAGAGGACAGGTACAAAGTACAGTAATGAAATTGAAGATAGCCAGATGTTAGTTAGTGTAACAATGAATAAGAAAGGATGTGTAACACCAAAAAAATATAAAATGAATGTGACAAATATTTGAATTTTTGACAAATGGTGCCACATCAAAAAAGCAAGGTAAATAATTGTACAATAGATGAAGTAGATTGGTACTGTAAAAATAGTTTATTTAAAATGTGCATAGTTTCAGTGAAGATAAGGATTGCTCTGATGATGGGAAAATTGTCCCGAAACGTTAGAGATAATAAATGTGATTAAAGGGATTTGAAGGAAATTGGAAGTATTATTGCCTTAATTACGAAAAAATAAATAATAATATTTATTTTGAATGTAAAAATAAATATTATTATCTATTTTTATTTTTATTGATCACTCCAACCATCTTTAATGAAACTAAATTAAATAAATCAAAATATTACCTGGCCTTCCCATAGGAATAAATACAAATCTTTTAAATATGTCTTAATGATTTCTTCTTCTTCTTCAAATTTGTCTATGAGACCTAATGATGTGAATTTTTCTAACATCACGGTATTATACCTAAAATTAAAAAAAAAATAATCAGAATAAGCTAAGTCATCTAGATTTAAGAATTATTTCAGGCAGATACAATAAGAAAACTGTAATTTATCTTGGTATGAAATTCCCTTCAAAATATTTACAGGAACAAGTTCAAATAATCAGATGAGAATCATGTAGTATAACAAAACAAACTAAGATTTTCCACATAATATGTAATAATGGCTTTTGGATACAATAACCAGAGCTCGGATTTGTATACAATTGTATATTTTGTTTGTATACAGTTTTTAAACTGCTGATCAAACATCTTTGTGAATCATGGTACCCAGATGTAATTAGTCAAATTTTATAATGCATATTTTTTAATATTTGATAATGCATATTTCAATCATTTTAAAAGTAACAATAATTAGAAATAATAAATTAAAATATACTGCTACTGGTGGGGAGAACTAGTCCGGTAAGTGGGCATTATCTTGGCCCGTTTTGCCAACCCCTGACGGTTACCTTGACGTTGCCACCGTTTACTGACCAGAGTAGGAATGTCTTGATCCATTTCCTGGAGCCTCTGAAAAACGAAAAGTGACTGACCCAGGTGGGATTCAAACCCACAACATTCAGAACCAGGCATTCTAGGAACCAAACCCCAACATGCTCGACCATCCTGTCCTCTAAATTAAAATATAACATTGAAGATGAAATTCTAAACTACAATCGTAGATTTATTTCCAACTAACAAAATAATGCTACCTTCAATAACTGACTTCTATATGGATTTTAATAATTCTGGCCATTTATCTCCACTTCTTATTCCTTTTAAACACCACATTTGATTTCTTATTTTATTTATAAGTAGTATTATTTATTTATTTATTCATTATTTTAAGAGTATTATTTTCATCAAATTGAAATACTGGATCAACATTTGCAATTCCAAAGATTAAAATATTTTTGAAAAGTCATTGAAAAGTTTATTTTTACATGTAATATTCAAAACAAGTTTTTATTGAAAACAACAAAGCATATGTAAAATGATCATTTCATAAATTAGAAGATTCTATTTGGGAAAAATAAATATAAAAATTTTGTTCATTAATTTTAATGCAGAGCATGTCACTTACTAATCCATTTACATTTTATTTACTTTGTTAATTGTTTATGTGGCGACGCTGGGTCAGGAAACTCCCTAAATAATTAATTAAGGGGAAAAACCTGGCGTTTAAGCGTGATCTCGGTCAAATCACCTCCTAGCACAACTGTCGACCTAGAAACAGAGCTTTCCCTAAATAGTACTGAACCCAAAGACCCTTCATGAGTTGTAGCGGTACAGGTTTTTTTTTTTTTCATTGTTCATGTTATCAATTAATTTCTTAGTTAAAACCATAGCTAACTTCCTCTTATTGCTAATTATAATATTTTAATGTTTAATAATTATTTCATGTATGTTTTAAGTAGTATTAATTTGCATAGTGTAAGTTAATTGTTTTAAATATCTTCATATTCATTTGTATATACAAATTACTTATTACTGTTTTTATCTGCCACTATAAGAATATTTGTATTACTTCGATATTTAAGTTTCATATTTATGATTTCAAATTTTAATAAATATATATTTTTAATTCTTGTTTATTGATTTTTACATTGTCTTTATTACTTCCAAATACATAAAAATAATTGAAATTATTTTTATCTTTCTCCAATTTACATTTTATTTCAGAAAATTTAATGTAACTGAATATCAATATGTACAGCAATAGTCAAAGTGGAGAAAAATTAAGAAAGTGACTAGGAGCGTACAGGTTTCAAGGGAAAATAGGTGACAGGAGTATTTTAAATAAAAAATATAGAGGGATATTTTAAAGAAAACTCAAAATCCTGCATGATTTTCTGGATAATCCAATACAAATTACTAAGAAAATGAAAAAAATATATCCAGGTCAGAAAGAAAGTGAAGGGAGGAGATGATGAAAATATTTAAACTATTTAAGAATGTAAAATGAACGAAGGAATATTTGAGATAACAGGATATTTCCAGAAAAGGATTCGATCAAATGTAAATATGAATATTTTTATTTTGATGAAGCAATAATATTGCATAGAGAAGTTTTATGGAAAAGGTCAAGAAAGAATGAAATAGATTTTTATCAAGTGATAGAGGTCCATGAAACATAAAATACATTAACAATTTATTAAGATGCAATGGCTTTATTCCACAATTACAATTACTTTTAAAATATAAACTGATAACAAAAATAATTTAATGAGCCTAAATAGCAATCAATAACTCACCTCACAACCAAAGAACAAATTTCCGAAATAAGAACGAAACATTCTGAAAAAAGAGCACCAAATACCACGAAAGGAGGAGCAATAGTCCATGTTCCAAGCATGTAGCGCTCTTCAATAAATGACAAATATTTGTAAAATCTAAAAAATAAATAATATTTAGTATAAAGCAGAAATGTGATAAAACAATCAACATGTAGAAAAATGACAAACTGACCTTACAGAAGCCATGAGTAACATCGATGACTGAAGAGCCGTACCACAAAGCCCTATTTTAACGAGTTTGCCAACTAATGCTATCAGCAATACTGTCACTTCCCGTGGCAAAGCAGTCACCTACATCAAAATTGTTTATATTACTCTGAAAGTCTGTAAAATAGTACAAAGAAATACTTTACAGATAATTTTTACCTAAAAAGATTTTAACTATACTACCCATCTTTTTATGACTGCCAACTCGGAACATCTCCTTAGTCAATAAACTTAACAAATTCAATAGGCGAGAAAAACGTGGTAAGTAATTGTTTTAAATGAAGCTATACTGTTGTTTTCACTTTGATTTCTCAATATATGAAAATACTTATTTACTCTAAGGTTGTTAAGTAAAATTTGTGTGAGGCGCATACCACATCAGATTTTTTTTTAAATTGTCGAATGGAGCATACGATTATATTTATAAGTCTCCAGAAAAATATTAAGTCAGTAGACTATTTGTCTAGGAATTTAATATGACAGTGTAGCAGTTTTATCATGAAAAAATGCCATAAAGGTGGCATAAGTGACATAAGAATTTGTTTCCCTTTCCACAAATGTCTATCTGTGTTTATTAATTCTAACTATTAATTATTCCACTACAATAATAATAATAAAAGGCTAAGGGAGCCTGAAGGTTCGATGCTGACACCACCAATCCCTTATTACACACCTCCCTCCACCTTTCGCCATCCAAACCCAGTCTCTTCATGAGCTTTAATGAAATCTTCCCACCTTTGCGTCAGTCTACCCCTCGTTCGTTTATCATTTGGTACAGCAAATATTAAATTTTTAGGAATTCTTTCGTTACTAAGCCCAACAATTTCACAAGCCAGTTTGTTTCACTGCAATGTAATCACCTCAATTATATTAACCAGATACAGCTCACGCAATTCGACGTTGTGTGACCATCTGAACTCTCCAGGTAACTCATCCTTCTTCAGTCCGAATATTCTAGGCAATACTTTATTTTCAAAAACCTTAAGACGTTGCTCATCCCTTAATGTAAGCGACCATGTTTCGCATCCATAAAGAACGGTAGGTAAGATAATGTTTTTATATATAGATTCTAGTTTTTAACCTCTAGACAAGAGGTATAAGCTAAGCAGTTTTGTCACAGAAAAATAACAAGCATTTTCCGCCTTCAGCCTAACCTTAAACTCCTCTTTAATTTCATTTTTTCTAGTTATCGTAGACCCTAGATACCTAAACTTCTCTACCTGTTCAAACATATTACCTTCTATATCGATGTCACCAGCAATATAATACTACTAATACTAACTAACTAACTACTTTTATTTATAAATGGTATGGGATCCATATCAAAGTGGCAATCACTCTTTCATAAAAACTTAGTCGCACTTTAAAGTAAGTAATTAGAAAAATTATTTTTGAAAAGAATAAAACAATTAGACACTTCAGCTTAAAAAAAAAAAAAAAGAAAGAAATTTATTACAGTAAAAATGATAATGGAATAAACTGCACAAATCCTGAAATCTATTCTATCTCTCAATCAAAAATCAAATAAACTGCTCCTGGAACGGTGGTGATCGAATTTTTAATCTATATTCGATTATTTGGTCTCTAGGAAAGAAACAGACTTTTTCATTGTACGAATCTGCATGGCATTACCTTCGGCAATTAACAATACTTGGCTAGTCTGCCATAAGGAAATCAAGCCTTAAAAGTTCAGATTTCTTCCGAATATAAAATTAGAAATAACTTAAACAGAGAGAAAAACACACTGCACCCTTTTAGCACACGATCATAAAATGAATATCACATCAAAATAATTTTATTTTTCATACTTATTTTATTTTAACTCACAAAAATTCGAAGTATTTAAGGTTACAACTTGAAATTATTTACTTCCTTACTATTTGTAAATTTAAGCATGGAACGAATATATTCTCCTTCACTCCATTCCAAGCTATAATTTACTTATTATTAACAAAATATGCTTAAATACTGGCATTTATCTATAAGTTTTTACTTAAGAAAATTGTTACTAATTCAAAATAAAAAAAATAATAGTAAAGTTAATTCAAAGCTAATTAAATAGATTTCCAGACAAATTTTATATTATAAATAAGGCAAACTAACCTTGTTGGCAATGAGTTTGGTTAACGAATAGAGTATATTAACTTTATTTGTCACAGTGCCAGTAAGATAAAGGTTGACTACATAGAACAGAACATTTTTGTAGAGATCTGAAACAGAAAACATTATATACTGTAATTGCTAACATATACATTGACCCCTCCTCTAAAATGAAAATAATCTTCAGGAGTTAAATATGGGAGAGTGCAAATTAAATTACTTATTAAAATTATTTAAAAAATTAATATATACACATATATTATTCAAAATAGGCTATAATCCCACCACCAACAGAGGAAAGTATTGCGATCATGAACATTTTTGAATTTGGGTTTTCAACAGAAATACATATTTTGAGGTTTCCTGAGTTCAAATAACCTAGTCCTGCTAAATGTCTGTGTGTATGTTATCAATCTAGCTCCAAAATGAAAAGTTGTACGAAACTGAAAATATATATTTAAGTCAGGTATATATCTGGAATATTATAGCAACTTTTTTATTTAAGTCGGCTAACTGAAAGTGCCACTTTATATCTTCGATTTTACACATTTTTACCATTTTCTCGGTAAAAATATCGGAAACGGCTCAAACGATTTTGATTAAACTCGATATATCAGTGTATTATTAAGTGCTCTTTAATATCAGCTAGGTCTTATCCACATTGATGTCGCCTTATAGGGTTTAAATGGACAATGTTCAATATTTCTTCCTCTAAAGTTTCTTTAATTGGGTTTATTTTAAATAATTAAACGTCTCTCATTGTTATTAGCCATAAAAAAAAGGCTCAATATAACCTTTGAAAGAATTTGATAATTGAATAAAGGAGAAAAAAGGAAAAATGTTTGTTTTGGTTGAAAATGGATCTCAAGAAATAATAGTCTGAAAGTATATGTATAATATATCATAGGAAAGCTGAGACTTTTAGAGAAAAAAATATCTGTTATAGAATGTCGTAGAAGCTAATCGAGATTGACAAAAAAATTATAAATAATAATGTCTAAAAACTAAAATTATTTAGCGGATACCATATGTATCCAAGGAAATTAAATGAAATTTCCTTACTAACTGTAAATTTTTTAAATTATGTTTAAATTTGAAAACAAAATTATATAAAATGTGAGGAATAAAGGCTATGACATTGTTAAAAAAAACTATTTCATTGTAGTCGTGTGGAAGAAGAAGTGAAATATACAAATATTTCATGGATTTGTAAAACATATGTTTATAATCTTTAATACATTTACTGTATTAACCATTTCTGTGAAATTGAGGAAATGACCCACTGTCTTAAAAACAATAAAGCATCAGAAGATAAAGTCATTGTAGATCTGTAGGAAATGGCAGATTTCTAGAATCACTGAATTCTTTGAAATAACTGGATAAGTAGAACATTGGACTGTAGCATTGAAATCCTTTACATAAGAAAGTTTACAAATAACTGGTCTAAAACAGATATCAATAATTAAGGAGGCATCTCTTTATTGCCTGTGATACATGAGATTTTCTCCAAATGTCTACTTAATGGCTGGAACTGCAAATCAATCATAAACTAGGAGAGTATCAGAGAGGATTTATAAGAGGAATATCATGTCCTGACCAGATAATGAGCTTGAAATTGATTCTCAAGTACTGAACCATAAAATCAAAAATATATACATTTCCTTTGTCGACTCATGATTCATTTGACAGAGAAATACTATTTGATATACTGGGAGAATATGGAGTTGATCAGAAAAAACTTAACCTTATAAAATTGTCAACAAGACCTCTTTTAAAATATACCAATACTGTCTGGCTTTATTGTCAAAAATCGACTTGATTTTGCTATTATATATATATCACCTTACACTAAGTTGGAAAATGTAGGTCAGAGATTTTCAACATTTTGAAACCTTTGGTTATCAGCCATATGTTCGTGAACTACACTATAAATAGATACAAGACCCTATCTGCATGTGACAGACCTCAACTGGGCCCGTCCTTGCACTGTGAGAACGGCAAATGCAGTGAGAGCAGTGGCTGCTTGATTCAGAAGAAATCTCATTCGAAAGCAACAAATCATGTCTCGGGAAATGGAAATCTCTGTCAGATCAATGTCTCGCATAATAAAAAATGACTTTAGGATGGGTGCATTTCGAAGAATGACAGGAAAAAGGCACTTCTCTAAAAAACATTAGAGTGGATAGATGCAAAGTGCTCCTTGGCCGTAACACCAATGGTCTTCATCGAAAGATTTTGTTTAGCGATGAGAAAATTTTTACAATTGAAGAAAAATTTAATCACCAAAATTATTACGCACACAGCTCTAAAGAAGCCCAGGAAGTCATTGGAAGAGTGGAAAGAGGTCATCACCCTTCCTCAATGAATGTTTGGTGGAGAGTTTGCTTTGATGGTACCACAAAGCTCTATGTTTGTGAAAAAGGAGTTAAAAACAGCTGCTAAAACTTATCAGGACGATATTTTGTAACGTGTTGTCAAGCCTCTAAATGATACTCAGTTTCCTGGAAGTCATTGGGTTTTCCAGCAGGATTCCGCTCCAGCTCACTAGGCCAGGGTCAACTCAGCAGTGGCTGCAAAAGAACATTCCAGAATTCACCTCTGTCTCGGACTGGCCCTCAGGAAGCCCCATCTTAACCCACTAAATTATCGGCTTTGGTATGAACTGGGGAGGATGGCATGCCACAGAGCACACCCTACCTTGGAAAGCCTCTAACAATCTCTGGTCCGAGCAGTTGAGCGTTTTTCTCAAAAGTGCTGCGTGCTGCTATTGATGAATGGCCACGGAGATTAAATGCCTATGTCAAGGCAAAAGGGAGACATTTTGATAAATTTCTTTTTTGTTTTACTCTCATTAAATATACATTTTATTTTCTAATGAAGTTTTTTTAAAAAATTATTTTTCTGTAGAAATCTGTATATATTTCCTTGTAACAATATTTATGTAGGGACAAGGTATAGGTAAGTGAATGTAAAAAGGCATAGAAAAAACTGGTAGGTTAAAAAACTCAGCTGTTCTAAATAAGGGATAAATTGTGTATTAAAGATCCTAACAGAGAGATCAAGATTAAGTATAGTTCTTTAGAACTTCTATACTCTCATAGATAAAATTTTATACTTTTCGTAAGTGAGAGAACTACAAAACAAGGCTCCTCTGCTCTAAACAAATAGGATCTTGAGCAAATACAATAATGGAATAGTATAAATAATCTCGAAAATATTATATTGTATAAAAGAATAAACAGATTTCGCTGATGTGGCTTATAAGTCTAAAGCAGCAGGGAGATAGCTATCTAATATGAAAGTTTTCATTGGGGTGCACTAATTATATAATAAATTAAACAATATTTATAGAAAGTAAAGAATTTACCTTCGAATGTTTCGAAATGCATCCAAGAAATGAGTTCATAGATGATTTCATGATTCTCCTCTCCATCCCAGCTCAAGAGAAATCTTAGGATAGATAAAACAATACAAATATAATACAGCTAATAGCAGTATAGAAAATAATATCTAAAACTGAACATAAATGATACAGCTTTCAGAAAAACATTTAAAAATTGATAATTGATATTTCAATCCATATTTCCTATTCTTGATGTTATAATAATGTTGTTCTCCATGTAAGCATAAAAAGAAACAATGGTAGGTCCAACTTATGTTTTTTTTAATAATAAGAAATATTTGTTATTTATTAAAACAAATGAAGACAAATATTAGCACAGGGAATGTCAATAAATTATTTAATAAGATTTGATAATAGCTGTAGTTTTAGTTGAAATTATAAAATAAATAAATAAATTAGTGATGAAATGGCCATTTACTTGAGAAAAATAAAATTGAAATTACTTCTTCCAATATTTTGATCTCTTGATCATATAACATGATTTCTAATGAAATATAATGAAAAATTGACGGCCATAAAATTCAAGAAACTCAAGGATTTAAAGTGAAAAATTCAAGAAACCTTTCTGTCAATTTATTGGATTTAATTTAATACAAAATTGGAACCATAAAATGTCATACTTGATTGGCATCTGAAAATGTAAAATTGAGCTTAAAAATTAATTAGAATAACTATAAAGGTTGTATTCTTCTTTGATAATGACGAATTGTTTTATGAAATCTTATACAGAGAGCTTAATGTTTTTTCAAAAATAAAAACATCTAGAAAATTAAAATACAGACAAATAATTCCTAGTGTTCATATTAAAATTCTAATAATGGAATCAATTAATTTGAAACACACACACACATATAAATTTATAAAATCACAGATTCACAATGGTGTCTTAAAAGTTGAGCCATACTGTTGAGATTTCCAATCTACCTGCTGAGCTTTTGATTCAATTCATTTTTTATGCTTGATTAATTGTATCTAAATTCCAAAAATGTTTTTCACATTTACATTTAGCCACCAAATTACCGAGTAATATGGGCTCATTTTATTTCTGTTTTGTTTAACTAAAAGGAAAACAACTACGACATTAATCATCTTCTTGATATTTTATACAATTGATAAGTAATAATGGTAAAATGGAGTTCTAGACTAAGAACCAGATAATATCGATGACAGGGAGTTTTTCAAAAAAATAATTTCTAATTTTCAAGGAAATCAAGGCTGTGGTACATCCTTAAGCACATCAACAGCAAACATGTGATTTGTGAAAAATATATCATATAAGTTTCCAGTGAAAAAAAATATGTTATCTGGTGTGTCCACTCACATGACTTTCCTAGCTATTTCGGAAAAGTTTTTATATCTTTACATATGTTCATGAAGAAACAAAAAAAATTGAATTAGATTTATTTTCCTGAAAATTGATCAAAGAAAAGATTTGAGTACGATTTATTTGATAAACTAAAGCAATATAAACCGGCTTAAGGTAGATCAGCATAAAAATTTTAATACTCTCTAATAATCAAAAACTTTTTGTCATAGCTTAGTATTGTCATACAATAATTTCAGTTAAAAGTAGAGGAAATAGTGAAGCTTGTGTGATGCGGGCAAAAGATTTTATTACTTTCACTTTGTCATATTTTTTCTCTCAATCACCCCTTTCTGACACCGGGATATGAAGCCGTAATCTTATATTGGTAATTGAATAGCTATAGCTTCATTAATAGTTGTTCAAAATGAACACTTTTATATACTTTTGTAGGGAATTTCATTATCTTTCAAAAACAGGCTAAACGGAACTTTTTTCGGAATAATAGAATAAGCTGTATCATTGCTAATACTGGTTCCATTCCGATGATTTTTTTTTTAAATTTTTTTGGTAATTTAATTACCTTTCAAAAGTTATATTATAAATCTTACCGTATAATATATACTTAGGGAGTTAGGCCCCATGACATTTTTCTTTTCATTATAACTTTTTTTCCTGAACCTTTTCAGAAATTTAGTCCATATATGAAAATTGAAAAGACAGTTATTATAACATTAAAGGAAAGTTTCATCAAAATCATTAAAGCCGTTTTTGCGCTACAGTCTATAGAAAAACATGTTTTTCATTTATTGCGCACAAGCTATTGTGCATGGAGCACCGAATTTCTGTCACAGGCATCAGTAGTCAAAACCCTACAAAATAAAAAAAGAAGCAACAAAATCGGTTCAGTAGTTCCCGAGAAAATCTTTCCGGACTCAGGGGATTCTGAAACGTATAGATCCGTCGAAAACCGCATATCGGAAATTTGACCCGATTGCAAAACTTTTCTTACCTAGTATAGGTATCAATAACATAGGAATTCTAAGTCAAACCCCTAGCTGAACATACCTCCCTGAAGAAGACCTGCAAAGTCGGGTCGAAACGTTGGCTTTTAATAAAATAGTTTTGCCACTATTTAGCCTATTTATGACGGCCACCCCAGACCATCTCCTTCCTTTATAATGCAATGGACAACTATTAAATATTCAATACGAAAGTAAAAAAAGTATAAAGATATAATAAAAACTAAAATTTCATGTGATCACTTACACACTATTCTAAAACACTACAAATACTAAATACTTTAAACTTAAAATACTTAATTCCCTTCATATCACAATTTAATACAATGAAATAAAACTAGGCAGAAGTGCAGAATGTAGAAGAAAATAAATGCTTGGAAATTTTTACCCAGGCATCATAGCAGGTATGAAATTCAATCCACTTTTCACTCTTCGACAAACATCGAGAAGCTTTTCTACTGTTTCTAATGAAGCGAAAATCTCTTTAGGAAAACTCCAACCCATTGCATGATGCCAACAAAGGTACATCAAGCCTTCCTTCGAACCAAGAGCAGAATTGATGTCGAAAATTGATATCTCATTTCTCCTCATCTGTAATGCAAGATCCTTCATTCTGAAAATCAAAACATCGAAAGTGTTTGACATTATTGAATTCAACAAGAGATATAATAGAATAGAAAGCAACATACCCATTTATTTCTTTAAACGGGTTAAAAGAAATGAGACTAGATGAAATGTTTGATCCTGAATCTTTTTTGGAACGTGGCTGTAAGAATTAATAATGATTAAATAAAATGTTTTTAAAAAACTGCAAATAGCAATAAAAAATAATGAAATTATTTTTTTAAAACATAGGATAGCTAGCAGTAATAATAAATTACAGGATCCTAAAAAAAAGTAACATGATCCTACTTGTTCTTAAATAATATATAAGCATTACTTTTACCTAAAATAAAAAAATAACTGACTCCTGAATGACAATGAATTCAATTTTCTCCAAAATCTATTTCATATTTCCTATCAAATACAATCTAAGAGTAATTAAATACAAGTACGAATATAAACATAATAAATATATAAGCAGAATAATAACACAAATGTATTTGTATTAATATATTGAGTGCATAATGTACCCAGACTATCTTACTATGGACTTACTTAGCATTTCAAAAATGAGGATGACAAATCATAGCGTGAGTTTTTGCCTCAAACACCAAGGATTGGTATCACCAACAAATATTCTGATAGAAAGACAAGTTAAAATAAAGTAAGTAGAGTAAAGTAAAGTAATTATGGTCTAAGTTTTGAAGAATGTCTTTAATCTGTAGATTTTATAGGATCAATACATTTGAAATCATTCAGACCATTTTTGATTTTTATAATGTTTTCACCAGTTATTCCATGTTTATTTCAAAACCATAGTTAAAAAAATGTTAAGGCTCAGTTTTTCTTGGTGGCCATTGTCCTTGTGCTATAGGTCTTTATTATACAGTGTTATAAAATGTAGGATTATTATAAAGTTTCATATTTTTCCATTCAGTTCCTTTTATGTTATTCAAATCAAAAATTACTTTTGATCATTTGTGAAAATTCATACCAGAAAAAAGACAAGGTTTTAAAGTTTGAAATTTCATAAGAAAGTAGTATAGTGATACAACAAATGAAAAAAAAAACAATTAAAGTTGAGACTCTTTTAACTAGTACACTTTTGCAACACTAAACGTCTTGTTTTATGCTAATTTCCATTATATAGTTGTCAATTTGTTTAAGAACTTTCCCCGCTACTTAGAAAATATTTGATAACAAATAATTTATAGTAAAACTTCATCATAATTTTAGTTTTTGTTTTATTTTTATAATTGAGAAAATGGCTGAGTTAGAGTAGGTAGGATATACTAATACCGACTCACTAGGCAGCAATATTTGTTGCGCTATAATTAATCGAACAAGTTGACTCTCAGTCTTTAAATTTTTATCACAAGTTTCCATCGTAAAGAGATATTAACTGTATTAATTTCATCATTTTTCACTCAGTCTCTTTTGAGATACTCAACATCAAACATCACTGAAAACGACTTTTGGCCGTATATGAAAATCGTATTTAAAAAAAGACAGGGTTTCAAGATTAAAATTTCATCAGTAAGTAATACAGTAGCAGAACTACATATGAAAAAAATTTAAAATTGAGACTTTTCAGTACACTTTTGCAGCAATAAAAGTCTCGTTTCATGTTTATTTTCATGATTTTTTTACCACCATTTTCCTTTCTTTTTAGGTAATGTATTGATGGGCAGATATGTAGAAAAAATAAACATCATTATTCCATTTTTTTACTTTAGTTTGATATTTGCAAAACAATCAGAGTTACAAGTATTTTCCTAAATCATGTTTTTAGTCAAAAAGCAAATTCAAAATGGCTGCCAGGAAATAATTGTGAGCCTTAAAAAAAATTTAACAATGAGAGTTCAAAACTCAGAATAAATATAAAAAATAACTGGTAAAAATAATGATATAAATCAAAAATTTCGAGCAACAAAATTAATTCAAATTGTGTGATTTCAAATAGATTGACCCTATATTAAAATTTAAATAAAACTTATTTTATGCACAAAGACTTTGGCAACAACATATTAAATGTTAAAGTCTAGTGAGATATAAAAATTTTCTTATAATAGTTGTATTTCAATTGAAAATAACACAAAATTCGAGAACAGCACTAATTTCTTGGCACTTAGCACATATTTTATTTAATATAAATGATGCCTTAAATGTTGAATTCCTGAAAGATACAAAGTCTTTATAGAATGTAGATAGAAGACAGAAGATAGCATGGTAATAGGAAGGGATTGGTTTCCTTTTTTTTTTTTTAATATCTCAGGGATTTGATATTGTTTTTAACTCATCTTACCATTAAATGAACAGGAATTGTTTTTAAAAACTTATTTTGAAAAGCAAACTGAGCCACACTTTCAGAAAACGCATCCTTTGATTCTTTATATGGCAGAGCCCTAATTGGAGAGCTATTAAATAATGACGGTGAACATTCATACATTAATCTGAAAACATAAAACGAAGTAATAAGACAAACACTATTACAAAACATGATCATGTAAATACTATAAGACAGTTAAAGAAAAGATAATTGTACCTTTGAAGGTAGAGCACTTTTGGTTTGTCTTTTAGTTTTATATCCTGATTGCATAATAATGATTGAATAATAAATACTGATCTCAATGAAACCAAACCTGGCTTCATAGCAGTTTTAAGAACATCGCACATAGATCCAGCCTTTATTAACAAAAAATAATAATTAATAGATTAGAAGAACAATATCACAAGTGCTTCACACAGACGGCTGTTGGATCATAAATACACTACACAGTACATGGAATGATGAAAGTAGCCAATTGAATCTGATAACAACTATCATATATATGGCAATAGACTTTGACAGATCAACATGGTATTAAATAAAAACAAATTATATTATAAAATCAAATAAATTAGTAGTTAATCAAATAAGTTAGTAGTTAATCAAATAAGTTAGTAGAAAAATAATTATGATAAACCTCATTTATTTAAGATTTCGAGCTGCTATTCGCTAGTAACAGTAAATACAGATTTTTCTGTTAGTAAGAAATATATTGTCATCAACTTGGAGCCAAGAAGAGAGATAAAGTAAAAATTAATCTGATGTTTGATGGTCAAGACTTTATGATATTAATAAGCTGTTAAAGTTTTAGGATATCCAGAAATGCATATTGGTGTAGAGAATGGAAACTAAATAAAAAAATTATTTCATAATGTATATTTTAGGTATAAGGTTTTATCAGGTGCCGGGTCTATTTTTCCCATAAATGGCAGGCATTTAATTTTCAAGAAAGTTCTGGAATTAAATCACTTTGTGTACTATCAGACAGTACTCCGTTCAGCAGTCCATGCAGTGTTATCAATATTTTAACAATATCTTATCCCATCTGCTATCTATGAGGAGCACTAGTGAAGTAGTACAAAAAAGAAAGAAAAAAGAAGTGACTTCATAACCAAAATAATTGGCATACCAAATCTTCATTAAAGAGACACATCAATAACTGATCAATCATAATTCCAACAGGTTCTGCATCGATCAAGTTATGCGAAATCATAACTACAAAAAAAAAAGAAATAATAATAATAAAACATAATGTAGAAAATAAAATATATTGATTGACATTCAAAACACAAAGTTACCTGAAAGCCAATGAACAGCTAAGCTCGCATCATGAGGTTGATGTAAATTGGAAAAAAACCAAAGGAGAAGAACATTTACACTTCTTATAGGCAGTTTCTTTCTTGGGACCAAGCATTGCAAAAGGCATTTTCTAGTATTTTTGTCTTTAAAATGATAATATAAAATTAAGAAGTGAATACATTTAAACTACTTTAAAAGTAAATTACTTTGACTTACTCAGGCTTTTATTATCAACAAAAGTTTTCAAACAAACATCAAAATTCCCTTCTGACAATCCATGGCGCCAAATAGAGGGCAATAAATTATTTAAATTGTTTAAAAGGACCTTCTCAGAAACTTTTTTTTCTAAAAATGGAATTTAATTTAACTGGCATGACAAACAAAATGTAATTCTGAATGGAATAAAACTATAGTCACTACCTGAAAACGCATTTAAATGCTCAAGTAATTCCCTCTGCAAACCCATTTCGGAAACATATAATGATTCAGAACTTTGGGAATTACATTTAAACTGCCCTCATCGATAACAAAATACAACTATAGAAGAATGAAATCGGACTTATTTTTCAAATTATATAAACAATAAATAATTTCTCCCGCCAATCTTTGTTTGAACGATCAACCAAAGAGGTATAAATAATAATGTGACTCATGCAAAAAACAACTCACAATTTCACAATATATTTATAATCGGGTGAATGAAATATAAATTAGCCGAATCAATCTCATTGAAAAGATAAAAAGCACTAATGTTGAGAATGGCAGGTACTAAGAGTGAAACACACCTTCGATTCCATACGCCTTAACAGCCGCTTCATCCTCTCACATATCAACGTGTCTACATAAGGTACATAGAAAATTTAATGCTATTCAAATTGATTATAATGAATTTCTTCAAGGGATACATAGATTATGAGTTTGAGAGAGGGGAGGTGAACCAGGGAAAACAGATATTTTTTGTGAAATAAGCAAACAATCAACATTCCCTAACTTCTCACACGTTGGGCATACATTAAAAAGCTACGTATAAAATTGATTGCAAATTTTATCTTCTTTAATGTTGTACATAATAATAGTTTCGATAAGATGCTAGTTTCGGAGTCATGTCCAAAAAACTAAAAATAATTAGGAAATTTCGCTGTTGCATATATCTCGGAAAGCAATGGAAATTTTCGTTCCAGAACATCAAATTCAGATTCAGCACCTCAAAAAAAAACACAGAAAATCGAAGATAAACTCGACTATTTGATTTTTTTTTTTCTCATCCGAATGGTATAATTTTATGATTTTGACGTCGTCAGTTTTCACAAAGCAACAGAGTACATCGTCAGTCAAGGTTAATTTTCTTTTAGGGGCACATTTTTTTACATCATATCAATATTTCAGCCGTCAGTTCTTCCGTTAAATGAACTATCAAATTCGCCTCTTTAATTTAAATTTTCGTATAGAAAGCAACTGCTTTCGATCGACGGACCAAAGTTTTGTGTTCAGATGAGGTTTAGCTTGAATTTAAAATGGTTAGTAGTTTTATTAAGTCCTTCCGTTAAATGAAGTGGTCGGTAGCTCCTAGTCTATAACAAGAGATTCGAAAATTATCGGCCATTGATGTAAGTTCAAAGAAATGTGTAAGTGTATCAAGTATAATCCGCAATCGTGAGAAACGCTACTGGCCAATTTGCACTAGCGGATCCAGAATTTAATTTTGGGGGGGGACTTCAGCCCGGAAGCTTTTTTTTTTCTCATAAAAATAACGATATTTACTTTGGAAAAACAGAAAGAAACTAACTACCTATATGAAATGGTGTTTAAGTGATTCCTTAAGACCTTTTAAATGTAATTACACCAACAATAATACTTTAAGAGGTATTTTTTAATTATTTTTTTCCATAAAACGTGGTTATGTTTTACCATTTTGGGGGGGGGCTTCAGCCCGAAAGCCCCCCCCCCCGTAGATCCGCCCGTGCCAATTTGAAAAGGGAGGCCTCTGATAAAATTTTCTGATTACATGAGTAAGCCCACATTGTATTTTATTCAACACTCAGTTTTTCTACAATTTAGTGGGTATTTTGTTCTATTTAAATTAATAAATTGAATCTTAATATTAAAAAAATATGTTTTATTGATATTTAAATTACTGTTTAGCTTCTGAGATATTTTAATCCACATCTTACATGAAACTCCTTATCAATTGGTTTTCGTCACTATTTTCCCTGTTCGCCTATCTAATACAGCGTCGCTTTATGCCACAAATTTGAATTATAGCTCATTGCAGAGAGGATGAAATGCTAACAAATTCCCTTGTTTACAGTATATAGGTCCAATTTTTAGTTTCTGAGATATTTTAATCCATATTTCCAATAAAACTCATTATATTTGGTTTATGACAATACCACCCCCCCCCCTTTTTGCCTTTCTAACACGGCGTTGCTTTATAAAATACAATTTTGAATAATAACCCATTACAGAGAGGATGAAATGCTAAACATTTCCCTCGCTAATTATAGGTAGGTTCGATTTTTAGTTTTTGTGATGTTTTAATCCATATACAAAACACTTCAATTAGTGGACTCTAATCAACTTTACTCATCGGAGATCTGACGGCTCAATCTAATTCACTCTCTACAAAAAACGTACAAAACTCGCCTAAAGAAGTTTTCGCATCAATATTTAGAATGATATAAAATAGCACTTATATTTTGTATTTCAATAATAGAATAAAATAATAATAATAGCATTCTATGCAACAATCAGATGTTTACCAATGGAAATCAGAGTGACAACTGTATTTGCACACATTTTACGAAACAAATTTGATTATCAGGTAGTAGAGGGGATGGGATGCTTTGAAAGCAAAAAATGTTCCAAGAGGTCTTATCACAGCTATTACATTGGTTTATCAGGAAAGGAGCAAAAGGAGTTGTGAGGATCAATGGAAGAGAGTCCAAGCCTTTTCCCATAGAAAAAAAGGCGTGAGACAGGGAGACAGCCTCAGTCCCCTCTTATTCATCATATTTATGGATGAAATCCATAAAATTTGTAAGCGCTGTACAGCTTGGACGGTCATCGGTAAATGGAACATGAGAAATGTTATGGTTCAAAGCTTATTGTATGCCGATGACATAGTATTGATAGCAGATGAGAAAGACAAACTGCAACAAACTCTTGTGGAATGGCAGGAAAAGCTCCTTCGCAAAGGAATGGCAATGAACACCTCTAAGAGCAAGATCTTACCTCTTTCAAGAGAGGAACAAGAAGATATCCAGCTGATATGTAATCCAAATGATATGTGGTACTTGAGTTTGTGCAAGAATTTACCTATTTGGGGACAGTCATAAGCAATACGGGAAAGATTGACCCAAAAGTAGGAAATAGAATTTGCAAAAACCAACCAGATTTATTATCCTATATGCAACACCATTGTGGGACACAGAGACGTTAGTAAAGAAACAAAAAGGCATATATTCTCAAGTCTGTATACCTGCTTACGGAAGTGAAAGTTGGGTTATGCTGGACAAGCAGGCCAGCCGGGTAACGAGTGCTGAGATGAAGTTCCTGCGGAGGGCCGTTGGTAACACCAGAAGGGGCCGTTTCAGGAATGAACGGATACGGGAGGAGCTGGAAATGGTAGAGCATAAGACAATGCTTGAAATCGACAAATGAAGTGGTTTTGCCACGTTTGTCGGGTGGATGATAAAAGAAAACCTCGGAAAGTGATGGAAGCTCGACCGACTGGGAGGAGACCGCGAGGCCGACCCAGAATTTCCAACCAGGGGTACATGCAGCGGATTGGAGGGAAGAGAGGGGAAACTCTCCAAGAGATGAGGCAGCTTGGCCGGGACCGAGAGGCGTGGCTGCGTTGGAACGAAGCTCCTCGACGCTAGGAATGGCATCAGAGGCAGACAAAGAAGAAGAAGTAGATGGTATTTGCAAGAGTGAGTTGAAGGCTCTTGTGTACCTGAAAGGGTAATAGAAACCTAGATCTTCGCTATCTTATCAGGAAGACTAGCTAATATTTAATATAACACATAAATACTTAGCTAGTAATAGCTACATAATTTCCACAAGTATTGGGTAAGGCTCTCAGGTTGGAACAAAACAAGTTTATGATATCTTGGAACAAATGATCACTAAAGCAAACATTTGCTCCTCTGGGATCATTTTTGTCGTGTGTATAATGTTTCACGAAAATCAATAGGTACGCTTAAGCCACCACATTACACCTCGATATCCATCTTACTCCATCCGTTTTCTTCAACTGATATAAAAGAGCTTTATTATAGCGCTGATTGAAATTTCATGTCCAAATCAAGACTCCCACTAGGCAAATCCTGGAACGAGAGTATTCCACAATTGCTAGAAAGAACTTTTTTAGGAATGTAAACTGATCAAAGCAAGTGTCTAAAAATTCCAATTTGGAGAGACACTTAAGGAAGTTGATCTTGAAAGAACGATTATTATCACAATGATGGACCAAAAAGGGAAGCACAGAGAGTATAATCCCATAGCAAGGAGAGCTCTGCGTTTCTTACGAATCTACAAAACTCCTGATTTATAATTGATAATTTTATTGAATGAAATTTCAGGTTTTTCGTGAATTTCGTCGTAAAGTTTTGATAAAGATGTCTTAAAAGCATTAAGGTATCGTCAGCAGAGTTTGTATTCCACGAAAAATCTACTTCATAACAAGATTAAGATCTGTGCAAATGAGCAGTATAAAATATGCAGAGAAAACTAAACGTAAGGAGATGTTTTCTTAAATGAAGCGTTACCATAATTATCGAGGACGGGATGGCCCACGTTGGGGCGTGGGTCCCAGAGTGCCCGGTTCTGAACGTTGTGGATTCGATTCCCACCTGGATCGGTTACTTTTCATTTCTCGGCGGCCCCCGAAAATGGATCATGACATTCCCACTCTGGCAAGTAGGGGGCAGCAACCTTAAAGGTAACCTCAGGGGTTGGCAAAAAGGACCACTATAGGCCCAATACCAGTACCAGTATCTAGGGATCCTATCTAGAAAAGAGAAAATTTTAAATAATACACCATTGTTATAAATTGCTATTTTTTTTATTTTCAAATAATATATAATTATTGAATATTTAATAGTTGACCATTGCATTATAAAGGAGGAAGATGGTCCCAGGTTGTGGTCATAAATAGGCTAAATAGTGGTAAAACTATTTTATTGAAAGCCAGGCTTTCTTCCTTTAATATATAATTATGTATCAAAATCAAAATAAACTATTATTCAAGGTCATTCTGTAAATACTTAACCAATCCAAATCCTCTTTTTATTTTTTATGTAAACAAAATGTCTCCATTAAAATATTATTTTATATTTTCCTTTGAATTTATAAATTAATGTTTTAATTTAATATGGAAACCTAAGAAAAAAAAAAATTATTCAGATACAACTTTGAAACTTTAAATTATAATTTTAAAAATCTTTACAATGTAATGGAAAATAGTGTTTATGTAGGATCAATTCTCTATCTAATAACTTCATGTAATATTTATAAATTAAAGGAGGGGTTAGAAAATAAAATACAATTATTGCTTTTGAATTACTTTTAGTACATATATTTTCTTCAGTACACAGTCATAATGGAAAAAAAGGT